ACACACACAGCACTCTCACACCCATCACACACAGCACTCTCACACACAGCACTCTCACACACAGCACTCTTACACCCATCACACACAGCACTCTCACACCCATCACACACAGCACTCTCACACACAGCACTCTCACACCCATCACACACACAGCACTCTCACACCCATCACACACAGCACTCTCACACCCATCACACACAGCACTCTCTCACACAGCACTCTCTCACACAGCACTTTCACACCCATCACTCTCTCACACCCATCACTCTCACACACCCATCACACACAGCACTCTCACACACCGATCACACACAGCACTCTCACACCCATCACACACAGCACGCTCACACACCCATCACACACGGCACTCTCACACACGGCACTCTCACACACCGAACCCCTCACATACACACAGAACCCCCCAACACACTGCACCACACACATACACAATACTTCCAAATATATATATATATATATATATATATATTTAAAATATATATACACACACACACACTACACTCTTAACATACACACTAGATTCCTTGTAAGCAAACACATACTACACCCCTAAACACACACTACATCACCTATATACACACACACACACTATAGCCTGTATGCACACACTTGCTATACCCCCAATACACACATTCTCTACAGCCCATACCCACATATGCATCACATTACACCACAAACACAACATGACTAAAACCAACCTTATTACACAATACCACACCACAATCAGCTCACTCTACACACACGCAATACCACAAGCAGGCTCCAAACAGATGCACAATACTCTTTCCTGGCATTTTTGTCTCCTGGTATCCATTTATAGAGACACCAGAGACAAGTTGCAAGGAAACACAGTGCAAGCATGTTATTAAATTTGCTTGCACTGTGCAGAACAAATACAGGGCTTTTTTCTCATGCTAGAGCTCTTCAGCAGAGCTCTGCGCATGGTCTACCTGGAAGAGCATTGAACCAACATGCTCACTTTGAGAGGGGGCGTGTTTGTCATTGGTGATGACAAAACACACCTCCTCTGCCCCGCCCCCTTCTTAGTGGGCCGCTGTGTTAAAAAAATGCCCAGGCCGAATTTTTCTCCCAGTCTGGCCCTGCTTTTGACTTACCTTGTGCCAGGGAAGGGGTAATGTTGTAGCTTGGTAATGAGTGGTGATGCACCTTGTTTGCACCTGGTGCAGACTGCTACTTCTGGCCAGCATCAGAGCATTGCCATAGTAACACACCAATGCTCTAATACACATGCCAGAGCAGAAAACTTTGTTTTCACCCAAAGGAAGTGCCATCACACATTCACTACTTCCCTCCTCCCCCTACCAATAGGCTGGCCTGGCTGGTGAGGGAGATCTTTGATCTCCCTTCTGGCCATGAAGCCCTTTCTCAAGTTGCATCAGCCGTGCCCAATACAGTCTCCCACATAAGGGCTAACTTACATATTTTCCTGGTCAACTAATGCTATCATGTGAAACTTGCTAGTAAGAACTGACTTTTGGCTTATATATATATATATTGCTGCCCCATATATATATTTTTGGCCCATATCTTGGAAATGAGCTGACCATGATTATTTGATTTACCCTTGTAAAACCTCACACATAATTGCCATTTCTACTTTTCCAATGAGCTGTATTCCTGGCCAGTTTTATTCCACTTATTCCTAAAGTCCAGATTATCAAACTAGAGCAAAAAATGAAGCACATGGAAAATGTGTAAGCTCTTCATGATCTAATTCATCAAGTAGAAAGAATGGGAGAATATATAGGCTCTACAGACTGGTCAAGCAAGTTTATAGACTAAGTCACAGAACGTTACTACTTGTTTTGCTCACACATGGAACTTGCAGCATGTCTCTTCCCATCCAGAGGATTCCAATGTTCATGAATCCAACCAGCGGCATACATACTGGTCGTGATCAGGTGCCCACCGCCATGTGTTGCGGCCCCATCCACGCAGTATAATTGCCAGGGCCGCAGGTGAACGGGCCCATCGGGTGGCCCATGCTGTTAGGGCCACCCGATGGAAATGAATATCATCAGAGTGGGCCCGGTAACAGCGCGACCGGGCCCCCTCTGAAGATGTCAGACACTGGGAGGAAGTGACTGCCACGGTCACTCCTCCCAGCAACCACCAGGAGCCGCATGGGAGGAAGGAGAGGGAGTCAGAGTGGGAACTCTGACTCCCATCAACCTGAGCCATTGGACCCCAGGAAAGTCACCCTCCTGCACCTAAAAGGTAGGTAATAGGAGGGTGACTAAAATATTTGGCATGTTAGTGTATGTGTCTCTGTGTGTCTATGTATGTTCTGTATGTATCTGTGTGTGTATGTAAGTGTGTGTGTCTATGTATGTGTCTATATGTATCTGTGTGTGTATCTCTATATATGCGTCTGTGTGTGTGTGTGTGTGTGTGTCTGTATGTATGTGTGCATGTGTCTATGTATGTGTGTCTGTATGTATGTGTGCCTGTGTCTGTCTGTGTGTGTCTATGTATGTGTCTGTATGTATCTGTGTGTATGTGTGTCTGTATGTATGTGTCTGTGTGTCTGTATGTGTGTATGTGTGTCTGTATGTATATGTGTATGCCTGTGTGTGTCTATGTATGTGTCTGTATTTGTCTGTGTGTGTGTGTGTCTATGTATGTGTGTGTGTATGTGTGTCTCTGTATGTATGTGTCTATGTATATGTGTCTGTATCTATGTGTGTCTATGTATGTGTCTGTATGTATATGTGTGTGTATCTCTGTGTACGTGTGTCTGTATGTATGTGTCTATGTGTGTGTGTCTGTCTGTGTGTGTGTCTATGTATGTGTCTGTATGCATGTGTGTATGTGTCTGTGTGTGTGTCTCTGTGTGTCTGTATGTATGTGTATCTTTGTCTGTGTGTATGTATGTGTGTCTGTGTGTATCTCTGTGTGTGAAAATGGCTACCTGACCTCCCACGTTCTCCCCCAGCAACACCTTTAGTACCAGATAGGCTTGAAATACTCAGAAGTCTATCTTGTGTGTGTATGTGCCTGCTAGTGAGAAAGCTTGTGTGTGTGTGTCAGTGAGCTTCTGTCTAGTGAACTTATATATGTGTCAGTGAGCTTGTCTGTAGTGAACTTGTGTGTGTCAATGTGCTTGTGTGTGTGTTTGTGTATGTGTGTGTAAGCGAGCTTCTCTGTAGTGAGCCTTTGTATCAGTGAGCTTGTGTAAGTTTACTGTATACTTACTGTATAATTTACTATTGGTATGTTTGGTCCTTTTAGGAATTTACAGTAAGTATACAGTAAACTCACACACACACACACACACGTCATATTATGTGGCACAATGACTTATGGGGCTGGCATACATTTTTCCTGGGCTGCTTTGTATTCCAAGTCCTGCCTTCCTGCTCACATAAGCCTGTATTGCCTAGCTCTGTCAGGGAGCTACTGTTGACAGGTACTAATAGTCTAGAGATTGGGACGTGGGTATATGCTCAGCAATCTGTATAGTACTATAGTGCTGCTCTCTGTTTAATACAGGTGTGAGTGTGTATAATATCCTGGGACAGTCATTGCTCCCTGTATAGTGCTGCTCTCTGTATAATACAGGTCTGTGTATAATATCCTGGGACAGTCAGTGCTCCCTGTAAAGTGCTGCTCTCTGTATAATACCCACAGACTTCTGGAACTAGAAGGATCAGAAGAAGTGGAGTGGTGACTGAAGCCTCAATCTGAGACATTCAATATGTTGAAATGGTGGCATGAAAAGGGGCTAATGGAATATGTGCATACGTTTTCCTTTTGCTCCAATTTTTCTCATTAATTCCATTCTGTAAATTCTCCTTCTATATCTTTCATTTCCTATTTTCAGCTTTTTTAACTGTATTCTCTCACCCAATATAATTTTTTGTGAACTAATGCATGTTCTGTGGTGTAGACACAGCTTTCTGACTGAAGCACATCTGCACAAGGTCTTTCTATATTTGTGCTTGTACTGACAGTGTCACCACTGATACCCAACTCACCTAAAAGTGATAAAATGCACGTGCCTGATATAGATGCTCTGCTGCAAATGTATCGTTCACATGCCAAGGATGTATGGTACTGTTAGTGGGAACTTGGTGTTATAAAGGTCAATAAAGAGAGAACTGCAGGGAATTGAAATTGGAATTTCAAACTTTAGGCTGAAGTAGTTCAACTGAATGAGAAAATATTTCCAACTTGGCTACTTTGGCCTTAAGTTGGAAATTCCTATCTTAATTCCCTGTAATTTTCTCTTTATTGAGTAGACCCTCTAATCTTACTGCTGATAACTTTGCATGTTACTTTACTGACAAGATTGAACAGCTAAGGAAATAATTCTCCCCTCCTTGCCATTCTGTTTCTCAACCACACATAGATCATGCCTTTCCTACCCTTCAGACATTCTCCCCGGCTACTGACCAAGAGGTGGCTGCTCTTCTTTGCTCCTCTCGCCCCACCACTTGCCCATTCTATCCTGTCCCATCTCACCTTATTAGATCTCTCTCCACTTGTCTCGTGCCTTCTTTAACACACATCTTCAACTGCTCTCTCTCTTCTGGCATTGTCCCTCCTGACCTTAAACATGCCACTGTAGTACCTATACTAAAAAAAACATCCCTCGACCCGTCCACCCCCTCTAACTATCGTCCCATATCCCTGCTCCCTTTTTCCTCAAAGCTTCTGGAAAGACTTATCTTTACCCGTGTGTCTCATTTCCTAAATTCCAACTCTCTCCTTGACCCCCTTCAATCTGGCTTCCGCCCTCTCCACTCTACTGAGACGACTGCGCTTATCAACCTAATCGCAGCTAAATCCAAAGGCCACTACTCCATACTAATTCTTCTTGACCTCTCAGCGGCATTTGACACCATTGATCATGCTCTCCTTCTCCAAACTCTTCAATCGCTTGGTCTCTGTGACTCTGTCCTCTCTTGGTTTTCCTCTTATCTCTCCCAACGCTCATTCAGTGTCTCTTTTTCTAATGATACCTCCTCCCCATGTCCTGTCTCGGTTGGAGTTCCCCAAGACTCTGTCCTTGGTCCCCTTCTATTTTCTCTTTATACTGCCTCTCTTGGCAAACTTATTACCTCTTTTGGATTCCACTACCACCTGTATGCTGATGACACCCACTTATATCTCTCCTCCCCGGACCTCTCCCCTGCCGTCCTGCAACGTGTCACTGCTTGCCTTTCTTCCATCTCTGACTGGATGCCCTCCCGCTTTCTGAAACTCAATCTCTCTAAAACTGAGCTCCTTGTCTTTCCTCCTCCTAATACTGATCCTCCTCTTTCGCTCTCCCTTCAAGTTTGTGGTACCCACATCAGTCCATCCTTGCAAGCGCGCTGTCTTGGCGTCATACTTGATTCTGGCCTCACCTTTGAGCCTCACATCCAGCATGTTGCCAAATCCTGTAGATTCCATCTTAAAAACATAGCCCGCATCCGCCCCTTTCTTGCACCAGTTACTACCAAGGAGCTTGTCCATGCTCTAGTAATTTCCCGCATTGAAATATTGTAACCCTCTCCTGGTTGGTCTTCCCAAAAGCCGTACTGCACCACTAAAGTCCGTAATGAACGCTGCTGCCAGACTGATTTTCCTCTCTAGTCGTTTCTCTCACACCTCACCCCTCTGCCAGTCCTTACATTGGCTTCCTGTATGCTATAGGAGTCAATTCAAGGTACTAATTCACACCTATAAAGCACTGAACAATTCTAGCCCCTCTTATATATCCTCACAGATCCATAGGTATGTCCCTTCTCGGTCTCTCCGCTCTGCCCGTGACCACCTTCTGTCCATTGTCCGCACCCGTACGGCCAACTCACGCTTGCAGGACTTCTCGCGGGGGCTCCCTTCCTATGGAATAGCCTGCCTACCGCCATCAGACTCTCCCCTAGTCTTGCATCTTTTAAGAAGTGCCTTAAAACCCATCTCTTTAGGAAAGCTTATGGCCTCCAAGACTAACCTCTACCTCACATACCTGTCTCTTGCTCTCTCCTAAAGGGCAGCCCACCTTATTTGACTGCAAGTTCCTGTGCTAATGTATTTTACACCCCACCTCTTATAGAATGTAAGCTCGATTGAGCAGGGTACTCTTCAGCCTATTGTTCCCGTAAGTTTATTTGTAATTGTCCTATTTATAGTTAAATCCCCTCTTATAATATTGTAAAGCGCTACGGAATCTGTTGGCGCTAAATAAATGGCAATAATAAATAAATAATAATAATACTATGATAAGTAGGTGAAGATTAATTATGTGAGTTGGACAGAGTGGGCGGAGCTTTGAGGCAAGGTGTGTGATAAATTTATAAGTAAGTAATTGATAGCTGTGATGAAAAGTGTCCTTGGACATTTTTTTAAAATGTTGGCAACTATGGGATCTACACCAACAAAACCAGTTGACTCCCTCTGGCTCGGTGAGCGTACAAAAAACAAGCATCCAACAATGAATCAACCTCTAAAAATAGGTTTTATTTAAAAAAATGCAAATAGCTAATAGCTATGTCCATGGAAGCTGACCTGGTAAACTACTAGCACAAAGGCTCATTAATAGACAAGCCTAAATGAGAATACCTTATATTACATCACAAACTGGACAAAAGTTGACAAATGCAACGTTTGCTTAATATTTTTGTATAACTTAAAATAAGACGCCATCTCCTGTATCATTTCAAAGAAGGTGTGCTTTATAAAGAAGTGGCAAGGAACAGATAACTCTAGAAAAGTACTAGATATTTTACATAGTGTGAGACTCATGGATTTCATTAAACGCTGAAAAGTATTTGATTACCTCAACTGGTTATAACTAGATGAAACAATGTGCAGCTGGCTTCCCTGATGAATTTCTAGCAGCCGCTCTCCAGTTCTCCCTTTGCTACAGTCCTAAATTCAGGCTTCATATGCATTCCGTTCCAAATTTCCAATGAGACAAGACAAGGCTGTCCCTTATCATCACTAATAAGTGTATTGGCTTTGGAACATATGGCAGTAGCAATCAGATCAAACATTAATATTCATATAAACTAAACTTCTTCGCGAATCATGTTCTCCTTACTTAGTCCTAATCTTTAATATTCTTACCTAACTTACAGACTACATTCAATTAATATAGTATACACTATTATATAAGCTATATGCTAACTATATCCAATACACAAGAAATAGGCTTTGAAATAAAGAGATCTATCTTCTTTCAGCTTTGATTTAAGAATGCATTTCATCCCTTTTTAGGTGTTAGACTCACAAGAAGAGAGAATTACCTATTTTGACAGAATTACCGAAGGCTCTAAGGAGATATCCCAAGTATTGAGGAAATGGGAAAGTAAATTATTAACGTGGACAGGAAGAATAGCAGCTGTAAAAATGCTGATGCTACCAAAACTATTATATCTCTTTCAGACACTCTAGATTTCCTTGCCGGGGGGATTCTTAAAGCAATACTAATTTTATTCCAAATTAGTGTGGAATAATAAAAGATCTAGAGTAGCAGCCAGAGTTTTAATGCGATTAGTGGCTGAGGGAGACTTGCGTTTTCTGGAAGTTAAGGCCTACTAACAAGCAGCTCAACTGTCTGATGTAATTGGCACTCACTCCCTCTGTGGATACAAATATAATTCTAAAGGTAAAAATTTTCAAATATCAAATGCTTACTATGGTTTTCTAAGAAAAATAGATCTGCTGTCTCTTCCCTTCTCCCCGCAAAACATGCCACAAATTTTGTGGGTTTTCACCATGGTCGTAAGCAATGGCATTCCTTCTGATTCATACAAAGAACCCCACTTTCAATCATATAATTGTTTCACCAAGGAACGTTTCTCCAAGACTTCCAAGACTAGCAAAAGATCTTTAAATCACCATCAGCCATAATATTTTTATACTTGCAATTCAAAGCACTCTCAAGTCATATAAAAAGGTATCCAAGGGTTATTATAATGAGAAAAAGGGTGTATATATAGCGTTACTCCAAAAAAACTCTGTCACTCTGTTATTGTTCTGTGGATTGAGAGTTGCACGTTTTTGAGTGGAAATTCCCCTTAGTACACCTCTGATTGTGTCAATAAAAATGTAAAAATACCATAAATAATGCACTAAATTTAAATACTGAATTTCATAAATTTACCATTTTGTTTTATAAAGTAAAAATATAATGAAAAAAATACTTTAAACTTCTCTGATTACACATCCTATTCCATACACATCACTTTAAATAATAATTTATAATTAAACAATCAAATTACTATTGTATGCAGAGAAAAGTTGGACATATAATATCATCCATCGTGAAAGCTAATAAAGTCACACCTG